AATAAGTGAAGCCTCATTCGAATACCTCTGCTCACACTACTGACTGCATTAATCATTCGTAACTATATTTGATCCACTCTTCATTCCAGCTATTGCTAACGTCAAAAGTTATTGAATATTTTCAGTGTTGTTGAAACGAATCACAGCAGCCGCTTCACAAATTTTGATACCTTCATACACACACAGGTTAGCTGATTCCGTCTAAGGATTTCGTAATATGCAAAATCTTCAAGCACACATACACATATTCTAACAACTCTAACAGCAGATACTGACATTTTTTCTTCGATTTCTTTGCAGCTCACAAATACTGTGTAGTGTATGGTCTTCTTTGATTCGTTTCTCAGGTTCCAATAGGAATGCTTCAAACTCTTTTTATTTGACTTATAGGCTGGAAGTGTTTCTAAATGGAAATCGCATTCGCCAACTATGAGTATCGATGGTGAGGTTAATGATGAAAAAAGAGAGCCACTGAGTTACTCACAGGTTAGCTGATTCCATCTTCGAACTTCGAAATATTTAAATCTTCTACACAGGGAGAAAATTCAGATGCTGTACTATGCATTAGCGTTGAGGATAAAATGGTTTGTCAGTTTGAACGCAGTTAATTTCTCCAAAACTTCAGAACTTGAGCAGGTTAATAAGATGGATTCATTTCGTGATCATTTCTACGCATAGATGTGATGATCGCTGATTTTCGTCTCAGGGATTGAGTTAGGCGATACAATAAGATCCAAACAACCCAGAATTTTGGACGAAGTGCTCAGCATATTGACGTTCTTAAAACGGAATGAGAAAGTGTAATGTGAGTTGTTACCAACTGACTGCTTTTCATCTTTGAAATTTGCTGTCGTCGTCTTTGAATTTTGCTAAATTTTGAGAGAACATTTCAAAGTAGCGATAGCGAATAGCGGACTAGTTTAATTTAATTAGCAGATCAGCGATAGCGATAGCGAATAGCGGACTAGTTTAATTTAATTAGCAAATCAGCGGTAGCACTTCGCTATTTCCTTGGCAGTGAAAGCGGATTTTCTTCGCGGAATTTGCAGTTTTTATTGGAGCGGATCAGCGAATTGCGCTCTATTGTTTTTCGATAGCGTACCCATCTCTGGCACGACATTTTAGCCAAAGTTTTTTCGATGCACAAACTATGTCTAGTCTTAAAGACACTCTTTCAGAGGATGAGATCGAGAGAAGATCGAAAGTCGAAATTCATGCATTAGGATGCTTTAAGGCAAAAAAAGCTTGATCCAGCGATCTTTCAAGTTAATTTTTGAGCGAAATTTCACACACGTTGTTTTCAGGCCGAAGGGTATATTTTTCTGAGCTAGAGCTTGCACTTTTCTGTAATGTATGAGCAGCATTGAACAAAGGGTCAAAACAATTCCAGTTGCGAATAATTCAAAAGGGTGATCGTTCAGTGTCGCAAGTAATGCTGAATCAATCATCGTCATCACTCATCAAATCAGTGAATAATCAACAAGCACCAGTATTCATCAATATACTACGTTCAAGGTGACAATAAATCTTCAAGAATGCACCTCACCCATTACGCAGCTTGAATTATCCCATATCTCGCAAATTATCTATAACATTTTCGATATCGTTCTTTTTTTTTTTCATTCCAAATCCGATAAAATATTAAATATTGTTTCATTTTAAATTCTTTTCCAATCACTGAGCATATATTAGTTCTTTTATTTATGGATGAATGAAAATTCGAAAAAGACAACGGAATTGGTCCACCAAATGATCTTCGACATCTTGCACGACGAACAAGTTTCATTTTGTTTTCATGAGCTTCGGCAAGGAAGTATTTTGCATTCATTTATGCCCTTGTAAAAGCTTATTGTTAGCAAGACTAAATTACAAGATTCTAATTATGCTACACTTCGTACTAATTGCACTGATAAGAACAACTGAAATATTTGGCGCACAAAAATGATGAAAAAATATTTCGATATAAGCGAACCTTTGGGTATTTGTTCATAATTGTAAAAAGCCTATACTTATTACTGTTTAGAAGTCCGATCGCTAATAATGCTCCGACCACATCCGTTGAAATGTCATCTGCATCGCCGAAATTCGCGGATTCTGGAAGCAATAGTAGCGTTGATTCGGGTCAAGAATCCGTCAAAAGAAGATCGCAGAGTCGTTCCCCCCAAAAAACTTGGATGAATCCATCACCAAACGTTTGTTACGTAAGGAACAGTCTTCCTAGCTACGCGAGAATAGCAAGTGAGCATTCCAAACTTATTCAACAGAAGACTCGATAAACAACTACCAAGTCTTGATCATCATTTAAGTGGAATTGAAAAATTCTACTGTGTCGTTTTCTTCTGTCTTAAATCGAGTACTTTTTTGTTCCTTTGTCACGGTCATGTGGCGGCTGTCAATAATGATGCTCAAGCATTGCTTTTTTGATGAAGAAATAGTAACGTTCCCATGTGAATATAAGAAAGAGATGGGAAAACTCTGTATAATCTTAACAAGTGGTTATGGTTGTGCTTGATGAATCGGCCATTTATATAATTCGACGGGTATTCAGCATTCTAATATTCTGGTAGCAGTTTCTGTGACTATGCAGCAATGCTCTAATATATTAGCAATGATAACTATAATCACTACTTGAATTTCATGAATAAAATTAATTCATAACAATAGGTATGTTGGACCACGTTCTACGTACAAGTAGTGCAATCAATTCGCTATTGAATTTGGCAAACGATTCTCAATCGTCAAGGGAGTTAATTGCTAAAACACGAATATTCATTCATGTTGTAGAAGCATCACCATGTCGTTGCATATTTGAAATACAAGCAAGTGATCATTCATTTTTCATTGCATCGGTCCACAACTATTGTTTTTTGTATTCATCGATGAATCCGATTGTTGCAGAATATTGCCGTTATGAAAGAACTTATAACGAATCTAATTTCACAATACGTATCCATGGATCATACCGTCACTGTTACGTCACATTTCATTGCTTCACTCAGATGGTTTATGGAAGACATATTGGCCATATTTGCCAGGGTATTTTTATATCTTATCGTGACAGTTATGCATTAGGCAGTCGATAAATGAATATCATAAGATTCAGAGGTTACAGGCTACTTTTTGAAACCTTTCATGATTTTGTGAATGATTATTGCAGATAATTTCACATTTTTTGAATGAGTGTGTAAATAAAGATCGACTATTAGTGATTGCGCTTGAGCACCTCATTCATTTGATGCTATTTGGCAATGTCATTTGCATGGAAGTGGTTCAGGTTGGTCGTTCATTTCTTTTATACGTATTCAAATGATTTTCAATCGAATCATTTTGATAGAACACTTTTGTGAGAGCTTTGAAGTTCTTTTTCTACGAGGCTGATCTCAACATTTCGACATGATGTTGCATTTAGACAGGTGGAATTGAGGCAATGATAGCATTTACTGTGATGCCTGCAACGCCCAGCGATACACTCAGACTTCTATTGCGTGCACTGGCGATTCTCTGTGGAATCCCAGATGGAGCGGCCAGAATGCTCTCTGTATGTGAATTACATTCTGTAGCGTTCGTTCATAGGAAATGCTCTTGTTTAAGACCGCAACTAGTGATGTCTCTGTTTCGCACTTCTTGCAAACTGTTTTACTCTTTGAACTGTTCTGTTCTGTTCCACGTTCAAATTGTTGTGTTCCACGTTCAAACTGTCCGTCCCCGCATCCAATAATTTCAAATCTGTTCTGTTCTATTTTGCCTCTAAAATATTCTATTTTGTTTTGTTCTCATTCTTTCAACCCAAAATCTCAAGGCGATTCCGTTTCACCGTTTAATTTAGAAGCTGATTCGTTCTTTCCTACCTCTGCGCTCCATATTTCAATGGCGTAGAAGAGGATAGCTGGTAGATTAGAACAATTTGCTTGAAACAGAGAAATCACTAGTCGTTACTGAAGAATACTTCAAAAATGGAATGCTCTCTTTACGCAAAAATACAATACAAATCAAACCAATCCAATCAAAAAGTGTTGATTCTCAAAGATTTATCTTACAATTAGTGCTTGCCGTTGCTTATAATATCTTTGTAGTTTCGTTCTTTTAAACTTTTAAAATAAACTTTTTAAACTGAATTCAGCTGGAAGGACTCGATACAGTGATACATATTTTGTGTACATGCTCGACTGCATGTGCGGTAGAAGCAGCTGGTGTACTGACACAGCTGACGAATCCAAAAAATGCGTTAGCCAAACTTAGTGTCTCATGCGCTCACATCATCGCCAGATTACTTGGTAGAACTTTTTATTAGAACGATTTCAGGAATAACAATTTAAATTTTCTTGTATTGCAGTTTGTCGTTAGACGACAAAAGAAGCCACCAGTTTTTCGTTGTTTGAACGAAGCGAAATTGTTTACATGCGTTGCAGATGTGATCGATGAATGCTCGACTGCTGAAAGTCTACTGCTGTCTAGTGCTGCGCTGGCAAATGTTTCAATGCAGCAACAAACGTTCACTGATAATCTCTATCAACACAATGCTGTATTACGTCTCATTGCTGCACTAAAACGACCTGGCTGCTCAACAATTTTTGTGCATGAACAGGTGGTGGTGTCCATTCATCTTTCAGTCGTCGAATAGTTTTGCATTGAACAGCTATATTTTCTGCTAAGAATTCTGACTGTTTCTAATGAGCATGCATATCATTGAAAAAAAAACACTTCCAAATAAATTCTCGACCGTTTCAGACGATCTGCAGAACTGAAATTGAAAGATTTAAAAATGACACAAGCACCAGATTTTGCCACATACTCTTTCATGTTTTATTGATGAATGAGCGGAACGCCAGAATACTTTAAGCATATCCACTAAATAGTGAAGAAACCGAAAATTTTGATTCAGCATAAGTTGCATAAAAGAACTCGAACGGATGGATCGCTTTACTCTGCTTTCAAACGAAATGATTATGAGTTTCAACGATCGGTAACCTTGGATTTCAATGAACACAAGATTGAACTGTTTAAAGATTGAAAAAGTCCACTTCAGTGCAACTGGATATCTATGATCTTATCATCGAGCATTTCCTTCATAATGCAGTGGTATAAATTCAGTTCATAGTAATATTCTCTCGACTTGCCGCCAAAGGGTATGAAGAAGCGCTGATTGTGCAAGGTGCAATTCCGATACTTCTTTCAATGCTGAATCTCAGCGATCCATCCCATGCCGAATATTGCCGTCGGATTCGATACAGAACTGCTGTATGCTTGCAAATGATTGCCTCGAAAGGAATTGGACTTAAGGCACTTTACAAAAATAATGGTTAGCATTCTCATCGCTATCATACACAAAATTCACACAGAAAAGGCTAATTCAAGAACTAAGTTTGCGATTCGAAACTGACATTAAAGAGCATTCTGAGAGATTACGTTCCCAAAGTGATTTGGAAATGATTGTACGATTTGAAACTGATAACAAATTGCTTATTATACTCTAAATGGAAACTGGAACCCAGATTGAGAGGATTTCCTTTGCACATGACGCAATAAGCGTTATTCTCATTGTATAGTCATGCAAATACGATCACATTGTTTAGAATATTCATCGGATTTCTTTTCGTTTTGTTAGCCCACTGAAATGAATCTAAACATCAGTGTAGTTCGACTCTTTGCTGGGTCCATGAAGCGATCCGAACTGTTTGTTGCAAATAGGACAGAACCTTTGAGGAATGTTAAAAGACTGAAGTTAAGTGACTCTCATCATAGCAAATAACTGAGTTTGAATGAAGAGGACGAACGTGTTTGTAATCTGATTTAATTTAAGGCTACGAGATGATCTCGAAAGCGATTCAGACGGAAGATGTTTCATCGTGTCCAATGGTAATGATATGCATTGGTATAAAAGACAAACTAGAGAGGAAGTACCTAATTGAGAACGCTGTCTGAAGTGGCAAGCATTACGAACTGTAAACAATAAATCGTAGCAGTTCGTTTGGTCCTCTCCTTTTACAATATTCATTCATTGAACGTTCATTATAAATATAAATTATGCCGTAACAAGACATCCAAATGTAAATTCATACTGAATACATCTAAATCGGTTTAAAAAACTTTTTCAAACAACTGATCGTAATGTATTTCTGAACATATTAATATAACCTGTGAATTATACAACAGCGAACTGCACGTTAGAGAAACACAGTTCAGTGATTATCGTGGACAAATCGATAGATGAATAAATTATTTTTCACCACACTCGAAAATTGTTCCTTTCCAATACGTTTTCAAAAAGTCTCGTTTGACATTCCAAATTGATGCCATTGATATGGAAGGTGAATTTACAATGAGGTGGAGATATAATGACGCTATTCAGCTATCCTTTTACGTCCACAAAATAAACGTCAAACTGCTAATAAATGAAGACGAAATTCCAATATGATTATAGTGCAGGTGGTTAACAGTGAACAATATGTAGCATCCATTCTTTCGATACGCTTATCCTCAGCTGATAGCACGAACGAACAATCCATTAGGAATGTTTCTAACCGAACAACAGAACCGTAAAGCATCACATCACTGCTCTTCGCCGCTGATTCATTTTGTTTCGCGGATCTGTCACGTCATACCAATCCTCATCAGTCTCTCTCAAATTCGCATCTTTCGCTTTGCTTACTTCCTCTTCAACATCTGGCGCCACAAATCGATGTCCCAACCTTTAAAACAACGTATTCCCACCGATCAATCTATTAATTCAGAACAGAAGCAATAGAACAGTATGAATTCTCATGAAGTGTTTTAATATGATGCGTTCTCTGCATTATTGCACTGAAACCTTTGCCACCACGCTGACCACTAATCGATGGCGCGCAATATTTTCGATAGAAGGAAATTATAACATACCATTCGTCGCCTTTAATATCCTCCGCATCCAGATCGAGCTTTCCAAGAGGTACTTGAGGTGTATCGATTGGTGGTTCATCTTGCTTCACACTTACATCCACCTTCCTATCGAAGAGAATCGCCTCCCGATTTGAAGCATATAACTTCTTTTGAAATTTATCCAACATTTGCATAGTCTAAACGTAGCAAACACTGACTGGTCTGTCATCATTTTAATGACAACTGAGAACTAGTAAATATAACTACTGATTGCGACTAACTTTTTTCCCATGACCAGGGTTCAGCGCCCTTGAAACTAGCTCACTCAAAAAGAAAACAGCCAAAAAATTTTTCGCAACAATTATCAGAATACTCTCAAGAATTGATGCATTTGATCAACTTACATTCTGGCAAGAAGTTTAAACTTTGAGGAACGCAGGAGGAGTATAAGACAAGTGCACCCGGAGATACTAGATAAGAGGGGATAGAATATTAACGTTTTTTCCTTCTGAACTGAAGACGTAATATGAAGATTCAAGAAAATGAACAAATCATCTTCACAACCCTATTATCGAAGTATACGAACAATAGTATAAGAAAAAACAAATAACATCAAACTAGCCTGATCTTCTCGATGCGGATCCTTTTGTTTCACGATTCCTTTGGAACTTTCTTTAAATTTCAATTTCAGATTCCGGTACATCTGCATCGCTTCTGTCTTAGGTTCTTCCTCTGTAAAATATGAAAGATCAACATCGAATACAAAAGCGTTGATTGATTCAAACCATAAGCTGAGAATAAGACGAAAAATAGCGGCCCATCATAAACCATTTATGTCAACACAGGAACTCGAAGCGTGGTTGTATAGTGTCGAATGAAGGTAACGATAAAAATATGAGACGTTCATGTGCTGCGCTTTATTGAATCATTTGAATTTCTCCGAAAAATATCAGACTGTCCAGCAATTTTACGGCAACTTTCCTTTGATAAAATCTTTCTACCTTATTTTTCCAAAAATCAGCTGAAGGTGCATAAAATATCCGGCAAAACCAACTAAAAACACGGTTAACTGACTTGGATTCTCAAGAATCAATAAATTACGAAGAAATGAGTTGGCACTTACAGATCACTTCATATTATACCTTTAAATGAAATAGAATCGATCAAGTTCTACATTAATGACTTCTCTTACCTTCCTCTTCTTTCGGCGTTTCTTTTGGTTTTCTCAATGCTTTTGCGTACTCCTTCTGCATTGCCTTCAGCTCTGTTGTAAGTTCTTCTCTGAAAAACTCAAGATCCATGGACATTTACATAATCGCGCAACAATAATCAACAGTGAAATGCTACGACCGCCAACACAGTTAGATTTCATAATCCATACCCATTGTTCGCAGCAAGCATAGAAATGGCAGATGAAGTGATAACAAAAACAATTCGTACAATTTTTGTTTGTCTCTAGCCAGTTTCTCTTCGTCGATTATCTTCTCAAGATCTTCGTCTTCCTGTTTCACCTCGTCATCTTCGAATTTCCTTTTTCTTTTTTTCATCAGTTTTTCTCGAATTCTGCTAATTCGTTCTTCAGCGTTGTCATTGCCATCCTTCATCTCATCTCCACTGTCCTGGAATCATTTAATATAAAACAGATTCGAAACATTTAAAATTCCACTCTTTTGAATCATATAACTTGACATGTTTGCACAGAGTTCAAAGACGTAAAGTTTTGATCTTCTTTTTGGTTAATGTTTTTATATTTTGAACCTAATATCAGGTCGTTTCTTTAGGCGAAAAAATTGCCTCCAAATAAAAGTTGTTTCGATATGTCAGACCAAAATCAAACGGTAATCAGCGACTATAGTCTTAATAGAACAATTTGCTAGATTCGCTGTAAAGAAAACAATCACATTCTAACGGATGTTGAATCGAGCCAGGAACGAGAGAGAGGGAAACAAAAATAATTCAAATCACGAAAGGTAACAAACAATATCTCACACTTCTTTCAGGACGAATCAGCTCGTCCAGTGGAATAGCAGCCTCTTTGCTCAATTTTTCATCAGTGAGCACATCATGAGCACTTTTGCTTTTAAATTTTAATTTCTAGAATAAAAAGTGATCTTATTAAATACAACACACATGAGTATTATCATGATTTTGCATTAACCATTTCATGGCATTATAGTATCTGTCAAAGGTGATGTTATGAAACTCTTAGTACTAATTAACTAAGCTTTTTCACTCTTTAGTTCAAAAATAATATTTAACAACAGTTATTTTTCTGATGATGCATGCTTTCTGTCCAATACATATTCTATCAAATGGATTGTAAAAACTGGTGAGATTCGAGATTCAAAGTAAGCAAGCAAATTCTGCCGCTTTTTAGCGACACTAACATTCTAACCGATAATTTTGTCGAACTATTGGTTTGGCGATACTCGCTTGGATATTGGATAGCTATGTGAAAGAAAATTTCTAGGTAAATGTCGAACATGTGAAATTTGCAGTCATTTGGACATAGCTATGATAACTGATAACAATATTAGCCGTCGGCAGGGCTGCATCAACTAATGATAATGACTAAGATGATCGTCATGTAATTGAACCATTAAAATAAATGAAAAATGTGAAATAAACTAGAAGGAAACTTTAGAAGTAAGCTACCAAATAAAATAAGAAACTAACTGCGTTAACTTGAATCAGCTCTTCTTCGTCTTCTTCAGCTTCATCACCAAATGATAGTAACGATAAATTTCTGCAATCGATTGATTGCTAATGATCAGCATCGATTAGCATTAAGAATATGCAATACAATATCATCAATATTCCTGGCAAACAGATGATTAATAAAAAAACGATCTCATAATTCAGTGAAAAAGTGGATGAATAAATGTTGAAATATTTAGGCAGTAAACCAAAGACGAACTTTTTAACTTCTTTCCACTCTTTTTTATGCGTTTTCGCTCGCTTCTCCTTCTTCTTTTCGCGTGGTATAATATCCGTGAAAGGATTGCTGAGTATTGTGGCCCCCGTTATTTTATGAATAATCAACGGCCGTTCATTTGCATCCGTTTCCCCCTCCCCTAATCGAAGCATATTGAAAATGGTATTACCAGTAACCTGCACAATAGAACGAATTATTAGGTGATAAAAATTGATCACATACATTCTTTCATTCAATTGACAAACAAAAGCATCTCAAAAACAACAATAAGGGTAGAACCAGTATAATATTTACCATAGCAGAAAAATAAACTATAGCAACATTGTTTCAAAAAAAATTATAATTATATACTTTGCCAAAAAGGGTATGCTTTTTGTCGAGATCAGAAGCTTCTCCGAGGGTGAAAAAGAACTGCGACCCATTCGAGTCTTTATCTGCATTTGCCATCCCAACCAAACCGCGACGACAGAATTTTAGTCGTTGGTGAAATTCATCCTCAAATTCTGATTCGTTATGAATCACAGTTAGAACGCAAATAATTCTATTAAACTAATAAAAATGGAAACGCTTTTAAGAATTTGTAGTTTCCAGCAGAAATGAATGCAATTTTCTGATTGGTCTTCAATACAGCATTCAGTCGACAAAAAATAATGCAAACGAAATTGTCGTGATGTGATACTATCAACTCCTCGATTTGCAATTCTACTGAATTAACTGATGAAAATAGATGATGTGATGAAACTGATGAGTGATATCACAGCGGTCATAAAACAATAAAAAATCTTCCAGCAAACTGCAAATACTCCTACAAATATCTAAGAATGTTCCGTAGATGTAAAAACCTTAAATGGTCTTGAGTAGATGCTTTCACCGCCTTGTCCAGTGCCGGTTGGATCACCTCCTTGAACAATGAAATCCTTCACAACCCGATGGAAAATTGTTCCATTATAGTATCCTTCCATACACAACTGTACAAAATTTCGACAGGCTAACGGACACTCCTTGGCCCACAGTTCAATGTCAATATCACCTACGGTTGTATGCAAACATACCTAGAAGCAGTAATGCTGACTATTAATCCAAACAACAATAGTTAACAGATGACAAAGCAATCAATATATTTCAGGAAGTGGAACTTGCATCCTCTTCAAATGAATTTTACTCACCAACGGTAAGTGTTATCGTTGGCAAAAAGCGTCACGGTGTAATTGAACTTATTTTGATCTATGCTGTCAATTCACAGTTTTTTTTGGCAAACGGATGATCATATGGAGTATTTTAAATGAAAGTCGATTCAACAGCAATTATCCTCAGGAAAGAAATGAACTGAGCTCAATCAAAATTAAAACGAAAGCTTGTTCAGTACGGAAACTTTTTGATTTTCTGACGTTCTTTTCACAAAAGTCAACTTCACTGATCTTCATCCTTATTTTCAATTCCCAAATAGACCTCCCAAAAACTCCATCAGAATTTTGTCAACAGTGAATAAAAGTTATAAATTTTACCTTTCCACTGGTTGCTGGTTCACTCACGTAGATATTACTCATCGTTGATCTGAATCACTCAATCTGTCTACCTGCCCTCTATATTAATAACGTTTGGATCACTTGCTTGCTTGATTTGTTATTATTCATTTGCTCCGTACCAATCAATATCCAAATTTCACTTCTCCAATAGACTATTTAGTTCTAAATCACTGAAATCTTAAATAATCGAAATTAAATGCGTCAAATCCTGAAATCCATTGCAACGATTGATTTGTTTCCTTATGACATAGAATTTTATCTTTGTGTTGCTTAAATGAGAAAATTACGAATGTTTTATTTTCAAAGGATGAGGAGAGGGTAGAAAGTTATAATTACTTTGCATGATTGCTGCGTTTGCAACAAGTAACAAACTACAATCACTAATTTAGCCTTCTCAGACTTGCCTACCAAGGTTCAACCAGAACCAAAAGCATTTCTGGTTTTTTGGGGTCGTGGGGCATTCTGATTTCCCACTACCGTTTTTGGAGCCTTGAAAACAGGTGGCAGAACGATTTTTGGCCGATAATAAACCATAACATATTTGTGATCTGAAGTGTTTCGGTTATTTTAAATTAAACATAGCTGATTACCAGCCGTGCCAAATTGGCTGAGAACATTCAACTAAAAAAAACAGTAGCTTGATTCCGCCTCATCGATAGTCGAACATGAATTCTATTTGGCTCAGATTTTGAACTGAATGCTTTTGAAGCTCTGACTCCCTACTCAGTACGTCACTGCGTCTCATTACATTCGCATGCAAAATATCACACAAAAATTCTGCCCACTTGGCAACATATAAAACTTTATATGCTTAAAATTAATGTTATTCAACTGGACACTGCAAACATATTCCATGGAACAACTGAATATCAGGAGAGGATATGAGACGAAAATCCCAATTTCTGGTCCTAGTTGGTTCCTACCATCTCTTATTTTCATTGCAAAATCCATGCTACTCAGAAGAAATCACGAAGAATGGAGAGAAATCAAAATCTACACATACAATGGACATGAAATATTTGAAAAATGGATTGTTAGTTAACAAAATGAAACGAACTACAACAAAACAGCACATATGAATTTATTCACTGTAATTATTGTTCTCATTTCTTAAACATAAACATTCTTGTTAACTAATGTAATGCATGCATAAGTACGCATTACTCACAATTACACAACAATTAAACACGCCACCACATCGCTAATATCAATTCAACGGAGAAAACAACAGAAAATTTCCGATTTGAGATGTGATCAAATGTCACAATATGTCCTTCAAATCAATCCGGCTTTTCTGTTAATATTTTATCTTCATATGAAGACTAGAGACATATAAGAGCAAAAATTGCTTCATTCGACCACATTACAGCAAAATTACTTCTAGAAAAGCTCAATAACCCGACAGTAGCTAGAAACACCGGAGCGAATTCTAAATGAGACGAAACACAAACACCATAAAACAATAAAGCAGAGAAATTGAAGAGACTAACAACAATTGAGGAAGATGAAACAGAGCATATGAATGATAAATAACAATACATCGAAGCCTGACTGACGATACGTTCAAAAAGTCCTCAAACACCTAAATTCTAGCAAGGCTCATAGTTTTTGTGGTCAACCTGTTCAATGGAAACACTGAGACGATAGCATTTTGAGGTTATTCAGTACGAAAATACATCAGCACTTTCTGTTAGTGAGAACGCATCAGGTTACGACGTAAAGTGACTGGGGATAAATTAATCACGGGCATGAATGATCTTGATGAAGTCTGGTTTCAAAGAAGCACCGCCAACTAGAAAACCATCCACATCCGGCTTTTTGGCTAGCTCATGAGCGTTGTCAGCCGTCACAGAACCTGAAATGCATTCAAACCATAAGTAATTCGTTATTTCAAACGTATGGACCACGCAAAGAAATACAAAAATTAAAAACAAAATCGCTACAACCTTCGTGGCGTAACGTTCAACTAATCTCTTGAAAAACAGTCAAACATGCAGGCAAAAAGCGACTCATACAGTTATTAGCACCACGTATTTATCAGCAATTTCACAAGCGCTTAATACGCCGACGGATAACATATGATGAATGCTGCTCGGACCCAGAAACAGAATTGCAACATGAACGTATGAATTACCTCCATAAAGAATGCGAGTCTTGTCGGCGACATCCGCCGATACCTTATCCTTAAGATATTCTCTGATCCATGCATGTACTTCTTGTGCCTGAACATCAACCACTACGATTACTACATTGCAAACACTTCTTATGCAACATTTTCACAGTTCAAGCCATTTAGGATCCAAATCCAAAGGAAAAACCTTCCAACACGTTTCTCGTCTTCAGATTTTCCAACTGGACGGAATACATGAGAATATTTTACAAACGAACTATGGTAATTTCGTTAGGTCATGTTATCAGAAACAATACTGAATCAAACAACCTGCTCTGGAGTGGCCGTCTTACCGGTTCCAATTGCCCATACTGGCTCATAAGCAATAACGATTTTAGACCAGTCAACTTTTTTATCAACAAGCGCTTGAATCTGACGGTAATTCACCTGAAGAAAAACAAGAACAACAAAATTACGGTATTTCAAGTTTGAACTTCACTGATCTTAGGTATTAATCCTAATGAATAGTATTCAACATCAAAATCACGTTTGCAACTTTTCAAAGTCTAATTGATCGATGACAAATGAATAATAATCCAACAAGTATCTTATCTACCTCTTTCGTCTTCCCAGCCTCTCTCTCATCCAATTTCTCACCGCAGCAGAAAATCACTTCAAGACCCGATTCAATCGCGTGCACAACCTTTTCCGCAATTAGCAAGTCTGATTCACCAAAAATGTGACGACGCTCCGAGTGACCGATGATCACCCAGTTTAGACCAAGATCTTTGATCATTGCTGGTGAAATTTCACCGGTGAATGCGCCCTTTGGTACCTTGAAATTTAATTTGATTTTAGTGACGAGGCAAGCAAAGTTTGTGTGAAAAACCAGGTAAGAACTCATTTCTCCATTCACTGACGATGAGTAGACTACATTGACAGATTTCGCGAGAAACTCGCTGCTGATATTTAACTGAAGGGATCATTTCATTTTCATATCGTTAATTACAAACGTATACTCCAAATTTTATACTTTGGGAACGGTTGAAAGAATTGCTTATTAAACATTATAGATCACGACGCTCAGTAATCCTAATCACAAGTCGTAAACGAGCAAGAAGAATAAACATACTTTGTAACAGTTTTGAGCTGCTACATGAATGCCACTTTTAACGTGTTCTTTAACGTATGCAAGATATGGAGCTGGTGGAGCAACTACCACATCTACGGTTGGTACCACAGCACCTTCGTTGAGGAATTTCACGATACCGTCAATCATATTCTAAGCACAAACATATACATTCGCCAGAAATAATAGATGAAGAACACTTGCACTGATTCATTTCAACATTCGTATAGTAAAACTCACACAAGTACGCTTCATCACATAAATATTCCCAAGCCAGTCACAAAATCGTGATTTCAAGTAATCAGTGAGTCTTTAAAATTTACCGAACCTTATCTCCGTTCATTTTCCAGTTACCTCCAACCAATAGTTTGCGTACCATTTTGCCCAAAGAAGAAGCGGTTCTCGTCCTCTGCAAATGCTGACTTTAAATGCACAGTTGACTGAATGAACAGAACGAGTGGTGCATCACGATAAATGATGGTAATGCGAAATTACTGGATGAATGGAAAAGTCAAAGACCAATTCGATTAAAAAAGGACCATTACAACGGGCTCGGCACATTGAACAAGCTGATAAAAACACGACTTAATAAAAGTTTAAAACAAGTCGATTATAAGAATACTGTTAACCGCTTCAGTTTCATTTACATACGACCGAAGAATCAAAGATTGCGTTATTTAATCAGCATCAGTTGAAGACTGAGATAACAGAACAGCTCGCATTGCATTGACATCTTCACATTCAAGCAAATAAACTCAACAAATTGCAAAAACAATCCTAATCGATAACAACTGCCCGATCGAAAGTAACGTTGAAAGCTTACATACCAAAATGAAATGAAAAAGATAAACACGAGTGAAAGTGTCAAAAATATAGGAACAGTGCTTTGCGCTAAATTCGAACTGGATAACAGAATACGTCAAATGCTTAGTGCAAATCATCTCAAGCTGATCTTATGGGAAAACAGATTTTTTTTCACGATGAGAAGCACAGCGGATCTTGAATCTTGGAAACGAACACAAACAAGTCAACCAGCCGAAGTGAGCAAAAATTTTACAAGTGAGAAAGGTTTATTAGAATGAGGCTTATGCTTATTGTTAATCACAAACTGAAGCCTGAGTTTACAAGCTGAGATCTTGTCTGCTACACTCGGCAGAATGGATTGGAAGCGAATGATAGATCAATGGATGTACGCCACTTATAAACGACTCAAATTTCCACTTGCAATGCTGAACATATAATACGTTGTAACGCGTTATTTTCATACGCTGCGAATTATCGACGTTTGCACAATGACAAAAAATTCAGTGCTATGCGATTGTGATGAAAACATGACGAAAGCACTCGACATGAGAGTGATGAATACACGATAAAGCTGTAACGCAGGCATCGGCAGCCCCCGATCCGCGCACCAAAATTGGCCTGCCGACAATAACTTTTGTCAAGCCAGTCGAATTTGAGAATTTGATTTTAGAGGGGTAAAAAATAAAAGAAAAAAGGTTTTAAATTATTTAGCTACTACAATGAAAATGTTCGAAGTTGCTCGGAAAAATTTTGGCCCGCGGCTAAACTTACTTGCCGACTGCTATAAAGTTTTGACTAAGGTTTCGTACCATTAATGAACTTTTACATGACGTCGTAAAAATAATTCGGCTCTCAGCAATTCCGAAAATAGGCCGAAAATGGCTCAGAAAATGTCAATCAAACAAAGAAAGTTTATTTTGTAGAATGTGCTAGATCATGTTGGTGCAGAAAAAAATTTCATTTCAAAACTTGGTCAATAATAACCGAACAAACTTATATTGATACATGCTGCTGTATTTCAAATTCAGAATGATTCTATGATTCATGTAAAATATAGTTCGTTTTAGTCATTAAAGTAGTATTTTTCACGTTTTCAGTACCACATTTGCGCATATACTTTGGAGCACTCTTAATTTCAGCCACCAATGGCATTAAGTTTTGAAGTTGTAAAATTGGTGTAGGGTAAAACTATGTACTGAATGTACCAACGGTGTTCCTTACCGTAAACTCATTTAAAAAGTATTTGCACGTCAATAAATCAACTGAGTTTGAAATGTAAATGATTTGTTGTAATCTTGCACATACTCACTGAATGTTGCACTTAGATCTTGCCACTCTCTTCGATACCGCTACTGTTTAAGCATGACCGTTGCAGTGCCATTTTTCACGGTAGAATGGCACAAGAGAAGTGATTTACATTTTCGCTATAAAATGTCTTCAGGTTCATCTCCTTATTCTCTAGTTCGTCAGATTATTAAATCATATTGTACCTGCTGTGACTCGAAATCTGAACATGATGGATTGGTGATGATTGAATTTTTGAGATCGTTTTAGTTTTCTGGTACCAATTAAACCGTTTAATTTAGATGTAATAGTGCCATCACATAAATGAATAATTCGCTGATTTGCATTCATATTAACCACTCCTTGATTCATTTCAATGCAGTTACTTACTTTGGTTAAAATTATTTGAATAAATCTTATGACAGCATGCAAAAGGAATGACATTATCATTACTGTTTTATTTTATAATTTCGACGCGACTTTACATATATAAGCATCACAATTCAAAACAGAACACAATCGCAATTTATAAATTCATCGAAATCACAAAACTGTACAAATAACGTGACCAATAAAATACAAATTCAAATGAATACAACAGTATAAGCGATATTTCAATAAACGTCAAACAACGCAGTATACCTAACTGCGAGTAAACGTTTAAACTGAATACTGTTGACATTGTTTATATCAAAAGTAAAGTTCACTGCAAAAAATTCATTCACTAATATGGCCCAACTATTCAATGAATATATTCTTTTATTATATACAACAATGAGAAGAATCATTAAAGCATTTATCCAACAAAAAAAGTAGCCATCAATCACACAAATGATTTCTGCTTGCAGCTTATCAACTGAGTTAACGATACAAACTTCTTTATTGATTAACTCAGTTGTTCAACGGTGAGTATAAAAAAGCATCGATCAAATAATGAGCGCTTACAATAGAGAAATTAATTTCGTTATGAGAACATACATCACTTTGATAGACAAGCACACGAACACGCACTCCTAGAATATGGATTACAAACAAAAAACAATTTCGCTTTTTCAAAGATGCGATTCATTCACTATTCGTAAAATCTTAAAGTATGTCAGTCTTTGGAATGAGTGAACCTATATTATACGGTATGCAGTAAAGGGGATAAAACAAACAGAAATTTTTCTGGAATAATGTTTCTTTAAGCAAACGGTTCGTAGATTATCTGTTATCTGAAGATAAATTTTGAAGACTATCATTAGCATAGTCACCATGAAATTTAAATCGCCCAAACTGTTCAAGCTGAAAGTAAAAGTGATAGATCAACTGCGAGGGGAATGTCCAGCAAAGTCCATCAACGCACAAAAAAAATTCCATTACACACGGAATATTATGACAAAAAACGATGAGAAATAGAAAAAACATATACCACCGCTCATAAAATGCTACTGAATATTAAATACCTCATTCTCATGCTTCATTGATCTGAACAGTTCAATTTTGAAAGAAAAACTGTTAAGACCCGTAGCCAGTGCGTTAATTTGCAGATGAAAAATCTGAAGATAAAAACCGAATGAATGTCTACATTATACATGTCATATATTAGAATTTTTGGTGTTTTCCTGGAAGAATCCTTCTCAAGAATATGGCTTATTCGTTACTATTTTGAAGAATAATGATGTCGTCATGATGATATTCTTGAATTCCTTTACAAACTGAACATTTTTCTTACGAACAGCTCTTATAAAATAACAATTTCAGAAATGAACTCAGTTTCAAGTTAAAATCAATAAAAATTCTGATTGTTAATGATAGTGAGTGAGTGTTTTGGGGATATTTGAATAGAGCGCTCGTAAAGACACAAACTCAAATAGCGATCAAGAAATTATTCAAAACGAACAGAGAGTAACGTAACTTTTTCTTCGCTAACAACAGTACGAAACTAACAAACGGAAGCATCGGTTCAGTCTATGACTGTAGGATATGGAAAACCTTCAATAAGCATTTTATCCTTTCGATTGACATACAAAAAACAACATAATTTTAGAAGGCATGCTCAATACTTAATTCTTCCTGACACACATCAAATGTTTCGAAATAGGCTAAACCTGGTTAAAGTTCCAACAAGTCGGCGTCGTCAACCATCAGCATAGGTTAAATGCGGTTTTGCATCTGGTTTTGAACAATAATGAATGTATACACTCATCTTGAATATTTATTTTGTGCACATTTAAAAGTTTATGTGAAATAAGTGAACGAATGTTCGCGTGAAAATAAATGAATAATATTGACAAACTAAAGCATGCACTTCAATAATCTTATTTCAACCTACATACGTGCATTTATTAAATATTTGCAACAGTGTGTCAGTAACTGTTTACCAATATCAACCGTAGAACGTGATGATGGCTCTCTGCAAAAGATTAAAATATTCAATATGCAAACAGAAAAATATGCATTATCAATATTGTACACTGCATTCAAATTCTACAAAAACGTTCACTGACAATGGTGAACTAATTTTGGTGCGGTGGAATGACTTTAAAAAATTGCAAAATTGGAAGGCATTTCTGATTTTCTTCACTGCAGATATGATAATATAATATTGAAAATCTCGAAGAACGGGCTAGAGAATGATGGCTCAGAAGATGTGGACTGAAACATCGCCAAAGACTCACTTGCAATCCAGCTTACATGCATTTGTTAGACAACACAATCTTGAAAAATGTGCATGAAAATAGAATATACCGTATTTTCCGCACTGTCAATGAACGGTCTATTTTCGAACTTTTTTCTTAAATAAATCGCACCTGATATAAGGCACATTAAAGGAAACAAAACAGTCAGACAAGTGAGTCAGTCAAACTTCATTGAACGCATTCACAATGACCATTCACTTCAAGATCAGTAACCAGAATTAATCCATACAAAACATGCTTCGGGTTATAAGGCGCACTTTCGTTTTTTGAAAAAATTGAAGACTTTTAAGTGCACCTTATAGTCCGGAAAATACGGTAGTTGCTTCGAAAATCTTACGCAGAACTCAATACAAATTTTTGACTGATATGAAAAAGAGAATCAAAAAAGTTAAGTAACCTGGTATAAATATCAAGACCATATTGTCCATCTTCATAAAAGTCAATCTGAATGGTGACTATATCATTACGTATAGATGTATGACAATAGCGTTGCAATGATCGATCATCAACACGATTCTTGTGTAAGGAAACAACGAATTCAGCCAACGGTTTTATCATTCTGAAAACGATTTCAATCTGATGAAGTAAATTTACCACTTGATTACTGATTTTTGCTCATTGATAATTCAGATAGTGCTCGTTATCATCTTTTAATGAAATTGACAACTAATATTAATGATTTGCTAAAAATGATGTATACATATTGGTTCGCTTGAAAAAAAATAATTTTTTCGCTCGTGACTATCATCTATTTCTAGTTTAGAATTCATTCTTGAAAGAATCAACTTTTAGAGAGAATATTGCAGTGAATATGGGAATAAGAACAGAACTGAAACTGAGAAACCAACCTGAACTTGATTTCCAAATATCGATCACTGTTGATGATAGCATCTTCATGGCTAAGAGGAATAAGGCCAAATAAACGATACGCCTTCGCAGGACCCCATTCACCGCTTGCACATTCTGGCAACGGCACCATAATCACATTCAGTTGCTCACATACAATCTAAAGCATCTCTCTTCAACCGAGAAATGAAACGCTCAAAAAGCAACCTTCTGAGGTTTTCAATCGACGGACCCGATCAATAAGAAGTGTATGGTATAGGTAATGCAACTAATTGCTCCGCACACCATTGCGATGAAACTGGTCACTTTTAATCAGAGGCATATAATTTTCAACTTGCTGGATGATGGAGATGACTTTGAAGATCATATTGAACAAATGGTGGAATGATTCGATGACGAATTATTAATACCTATGATACATGCAATTCGTCTACCTTGAATTTGCAAACACTCTTGAATTTGATCGGTTGCCCGGTGAGATAGTGTCCCGGCGACACAGTATTTGCGAAAATATCGAGGAGAAGTGGACGGGTGGAAGGGCAATGAACCCGAAATACAGCAGCATCACCCACAACTGACTGCATAACGAATCGTTTCAGACTATAGCCATTCAGTTCCGAATCGTCACCATCATAAAATCTGTACGACATGTCATTTTAAATTTCTTTGAGGTGCAAACAAATGTAATTGAAAATTTCAAAACTGAGCACAAAATAAAGCGTAAAAATAACAGTTGGATGAGTTATTATTTACTGCTAACAACCCCTATACTAGAATAATACAACATCAGAGGTAACGAGCGATTAATCAGTTTTATGATCAATAGAAATAAGAGCGTTTCAAAGGTCTTACTTCAAATTGTAGTGGAAGATTAACGAATCCAACGCTTCATTACACATATTTATTGAAATTGTTGCTGCACCAGATTTGTCAGCCTAAATGCTGTGAACTATGAATATTGCAAAAAACAGCAGAAGCTTTGGTTAATAGTAGCAGAAGCCACTTTGAACTTTCATTTTGATGAACAAACGAATTTTGAAGGAAATTGAATGGCGAAGTCGATTAACTTGACACATTAACGATCGGTTTTTCAAAGAAAACAGACGTTTTGCAAACTGCAGATTCACCTAGTTGGTTAGATCGTAGAAACAGGGCACTTGAACAATACTCAACGGCAAATTAGAAATGGCCTGCTCACTAAAACAGTGAGGATAACCAAAATCGTTAAAGCAAAACGATAAGAACAAAGCGAAATTAATGATCAAATACCAATATAACTGCTTGTAAGTTGGGATCTGTAAAGCTGAGACCATATCGAAAGAACAAGGATCGTACGAAAGGTTTTGACTCAAACTGGCGCAACGTGATAGGTCTTTGTAGAAGCTGCCATTCATTCTGTTGAGGGAAGAATTCGTAAATAAATTCCTGAAAAAATGACAAAATAAACGATAAGAGTAAAATGACGAAAGACAAGGGTAACATATTTTTTAAGCTCACCTCAGGATCAGTCATGAAATAATGATCGTCGTATTCGTACCGTAAGCTATCGCTCTTTGATGCTGACCTTGAACCTTCTTTCGCATTACTAAAAATGTTGACTTGCATTCATATGATAAAAAGGCTATTAGATGGATTATTATCAAAATTTCGATGATAATTACGATTCACGGTTTTCTCCCAAAACAAACGTAAAATTGAGAAGAACGAAATTGCAAAAGAAAAGATTACGTTTCACTCATTCATATCTGCAACTGATTAACTATAGTTTGCTGCAGCGAATTACGAGATAAATCCAAACGAAAGAAAGCAATTAAACCAAATGAAATATGCTTGAATAAATTCGCAAAAGACACAAACGTACACAAGATGACGAGCTCCCCAATTACACTGAACAAATCTCCATGAGCCATCCAAAAATACCGCATTCCATGTGTTCCGAAAGCGATTATCATCAAAGCGGAAGCCAGGCTGATACCCAGCAGATTTACTGAAGCCTTTTATAACGACGCAGTGCAAACCCGCATAGCTGAAACAGAAAAGGCAAAAACTGAGGGTGAAACTTTACAACGGGTAAAATTTGAAAGATAGACCCATCAAACATTGATGAACTGTCATAAAGTTTCAACAGCAAAGAAGTTATTCCAGTCAACATCATTCCCCTCACTCCAATAACTCCTTCGAACTGGTTCAATCTTGAGTAATTTACCGCATTGTATCCAATCGTATGCAAATTACCCTAACGTACAGCAGAAATAGCAATGACCTTCAGAGGTTGCATTGTGCATGGACCCCCCACGATGAGGTTTCCCTTTAAAGATGACTTCGTTGATCTGAGGCGATCAACAGGTTGATTCATCATGTTCAATAGATGGACCGGTACATTATATTGTTATGACAAGAATTAATGTGATCTTTTGATGGAATCTGCCCGAAACATAGTTATTCTTTGCTGAAGCAAACAGATGAAAAGAGACAGTGTTATACTCTACCTGCAAAGTCGCTTGAAGAGAACATGATAACTTTCTGTTCCATATTTGATCCCTCTCAGAAGGCCCATGGGTGTGTTGCTATCTAAATCGTTATCGAACTGCATAACGTTCAGATTCTTTACGGTAATCCAACGATAAATAGCTCTGAAAGTAAGTACAAAAACTGAATATTTGTTGCATATTTCACCCGAATTGCATCACATTTAATTAGACTTTTATTTAGGTGCATGATATGAGATATGTCCCTTATGAAACATGTGGTTTCATAACTTTAACCAGCATCCGATTGTTAATCATTATTCCTGTTTACAGACAATACATCTGAAACCAGTGATTTTGCACATTAATCGAAAAAAACACATATCATCATTACATAATGCGGATGTGGATTTCATGAGAGAAAATGACAGAATAATAATGCAATTATGCGTGCAATTCTGAGCATGATGCAGCAGGCATAATTGACGTTATTTTTTTGTTTCCTGTGCTATGTATTTCATTTTTCATAACCACATATTGCAGAACTATGATAGAACATCGGACATAGTCATGTAAGAATTCTTGTATGAATACGAATCGAACGTGTTGCACTTGGTATGCAGGCCTGCCACAAACTATTTTGATGATCAACGACACGAAGACTGATTAACCTGGCTTTATCAACATCTGATCTAGCATTGGTTGTGAGTGCGCGAATAAGTTCGGTGAAAGTTGTTACTTCAGACTGCGCCATTGAAATGGCAATTTGATCAATTGATTCGAATACGGAGGTGCTTGTGTAAACATCCCGTTTACTACACATCGGGGGCATTGGTGGCGGTGGCGTAGTTGGATACGATGGCGGACCACTTCCGTTTGCATCATCGGAAGAGCAATCCTGGAAATACTACCGATATAACATGAACATTTTCGGCGCAAAGCATGATAAGGATGTTTACAAAACCCTAATACTTCGAATAAATGAGTAACGCACGCAGGTAATCGCTCTGGAACTCATTTCTATACAATTTTGGGCATCCTCCAGTTATGAGCTTAACCAACGAATACTTGAGATCAATCATACATGACCAATCGAACAGATGTTGAACTCTTTCATACTGGGAGCATAATTTTAATGATCATATGTAAATTCATGAAAATAACTTGAATTGCTCAATCAACTGATGAATTATTACAAGTCGAATTGATTAGAATTTATAGACAACTCACCACTCTAGCCTGCTTGAACAGTTCGAGCATTTCTTTTGCTTGTCGGTCAACTAACTCTGCAGTTTGCAATCGCTCTCGCTCTTTCCTTTGCATGTGAAGCGTTTCTAACTTCTTATCTCTTTTAATCGTCAAATGTCGTATCAATTCTTCTTTGTTTTTGTTACCAACCTGACCCTTCTCAAATTTTCGAGCAAAATCAGCTAACGCTTGTTCCCATTCCTCCTAAAAATTTACGGCATTATTTATGTGCGAATATTTGCAACAAGATGAGTATAGTCGATTGAATAAATGAATGAATGAAAGTGAAATAATTCGTTACCTTTGTTTCCTTTTCGAAGCGATCGTATTCACGTTTCTTGTTCTCATCAAATGCTTCGTAAAGTTTATCCTCATCACGACGATGGATCAGTTCAAGACGTGTTTGTGCATCGTAATCCTGATATCAACTTTTACTTCACTGCTTTTAAATGGCCATTTAACCCAATTAAATATCAAATTTATGAAGGCATTCACGTAATATGATGTAATACACAAGACACGTTTGATTTTGAGGCTTCAAATGCATTGCTGATTTCACAGAATTTTGATGAGAAGAGTATTATAATGATGGTACTTTGTTTATTACCAAATATGAGAAAAACAAACTGATGGCAATCCGCTGTGAAAACAATTTCCATATTAATGCTAATTTTCTTGATGTCACAATTCGGCACGTATCAAATATGGGAACAATATTGAAAATTGCTAAGGAAAATGACTCACAACCACATATTTGGCTCCCTCATGTATTATTTTGGGATAGGGTTTCGAAACTTGGGTTGCTTTGATAGCATGTGCGATTTTCATGTCCTCCAAGCCGGCGTCACGGCGAAAACCACCACTAGTTACCGAACCGTTACCATTTTGCTGACCAGAACGGTTCGGGGGAAGATCGTGCGGCCCTGCCACGGGCACATGATTGTTGCAATAGATTTCCTGAATGCAAACCGTGGAAACAGAACATAGACACACGAAACAAGAAGTGGACTATTGCAAAATGTTTCACTTATCATCATCGCACTATTCATGGTCACTGTTATAAACGTAATAAAATCAGCGTTTGCACGGGATCCCGACTTTTGAATCACGATATTGGAAGTTACGCTCCGAGAAATCCCACGATTTGATGAAACACGGCATTTTATAAGATCTTGGCAATATACTCATCTTGAATTACACACCAATCGTTTCCAGTTCATGCTTATTCAGTAATATTTTTGCTTACTATCCAAAACGATCCCGGGACTGAAAGATAATTCAAACTGTGCAAACTAGAATACTTCGAATGAATTTCTTCGAACAAACTAAGATGTATTTCGAAATAAACTAAATGAAATATTTTTTCGAAAAACGTAAAAGACATAGCCATAAAAGACATAGTGACTACGTCTTTTCGTTTGCCCCTCTTAAGAGTGAAATCCTTCAAAAAATCGCTTCTGAATTGATCACATTAACTGATTCCATCAACAGAAACGATCTTAAACAAGTGCACTATTGAAGACACGTACACAATACCACATTCTGTGACCATACAAAACTATGTAATAATAGCAACTCATAATATGACTGACAAAAGAATACTTTTTCACAGAAGATACTGAAAAAAGCTTATGAATATTCACCATAAATAACAAATAAATTTAGCCGTTAAGATTCGCCACTTAGGCCTAAATGAAAAGTTACTTGAGAACAATTTTTTGATGAAAGCACGAGTATTCTGAGTGCTTCACATGGCCGCAAAGAATAATGCAGACAAATTATGACCAAGACAACTAGAAATGCATTAAGAATAAATACAAACCTGATCATCAGTATCATTTCGGTTGTTGCAATAAGTTTTAAGTGCAAGTCTTGTACCGCAAATGTAACATTTGAAGCATCCCTGATGAAAATAGGTGGAATCTTTGAGCGGTCCTACCTTATCTGTTGGATAGACAGGTTTGGAGCATCGATGACACAACTCTTTTACCATCTTAATTACAGTCATCAATCATCAATATGTGACACAATGAAAACTATGCAATCGACCGTATAACATCAGCTAATGAACACTAATCCAGTAATAACTGGCTAATGTCATCCGAACGAACGATTCGATTCGTATTTACAAAAAATGAATAAACGAAGGAAATAAGAGCAAATAACTAAGCCAATGAAATACCTTTCGAATAAATATCATCCAAAATGAGTATGCTTAAGCAAACAAACTGACTGTACATACTAGATGAAAGACAGTAAAATTTAAAAAAAAAATTAAAAAGACACTCAAAATGTGATCGGATATCAGATAATAGTATTCAATTATAGTTTGACAGTATGGTTGACACGTGAACGGATTTTGCAATCCTCGCCACTGCAGAGACAGGAGAAGTTTATCCCCGTCTTCGCGAAACGGAAAGAGAAGCGTTTTTCTCTGCTGGCCCTCCCAGAAAAGACAAGAATTAATCTTCGCTCGCTCTGTTCCCCTCTTCATGGTCTTCCCTGCGGAGAAACAGTGGCTGTGGGGATGGGGACAAACTATTTGTGCTCTTCTCGTCCCCGGCTCTGCGAACACAAGGTGCCAATCTTACTTCACAGTCACGTTTCACTATGAAACCAAAACAATAGCAGTAAGAAAAATAAGTAACGTTCAGTTCCCAATATTGAATTTCTGAATCTTCCATTTGTTTAGATCAGTGATTTCCACGCTCTCACGCTTCGTGCTTCCTTGTGTCGAGTAAAGGTCCGTCATCCTCTCCTCTAACAATAAACGCGACCGTACTTTCCCCCTCCTCCCGCCTCTAGAAGTGTATCATATCACAGCGACAAATTCAGAAGAAAACCCTAAGTTGATCCATTGCTCGAGAAGGTTGCTGTCAAGAATCCAAGAACTTGCCGGTGAATCAAAGGAATGACCTAGTTGTAATTTAACGCACATTTTGAAAACATCAGTGAACATTCGTGGAAGAATTATAAGAATGAATAAGTAAATCAATAAAGATTTGCCAACATCCGCAATTCACTCCCATGGGCAACTTCCCTGCTATGAAAAAGCCATTGTTTTGAGCATTTCTCACTATGACTTTTTCTAATTATCAGCACTTGCCAATGAAACCGACTTCGAAAGGAATGATTTCTTTGGTGCACAGAAATAATTGCCTCCATTCGTTTTCTATTCACTCACTGACAATCTCGTAATTTGAAAGTGCTCATGAAAAGTTCAGCAGCATCTTTAATGCACTAGAATAATTATCGAAATCCGTTGAATTTTACGAACAATTTTCATCGTAAAATTGAGCGTTATCCGTTTCAGTGTTGTTCACTACCTAGTTCAGCAGTAGTTCTATTGCACCAAAATTATTCGAATACTTGAAACTCATTTGGCCAAACGAAAATGTCAAATGTGTAATTTTTCATTGATGAAGAATTCGAAAACGATTGCAATGAACGAAAAAAAAGCGAGAAAATTGCAAACGCGATATAAACAATGAACGAAAGTTAATGATCCAGAAATGATTACTCGAATCGATTGTAACAAAAACGCTTGATGAAATTGGAATCAATAAGATCAGTGTTGAACATGACATTATTGAAAGTATTCTTTCAAATATTATCAAACACAGTCCATATTCGCTCTTTGAATATTGTGAGAAAGAAGGAAATATGTACAAAAAACATGAGAGCAACATTTCACGAGCAGAATCACTGAGTTTCAATATGATTAAAACTTGGCATTAACGCGTTGATGCTAGAATTGCAATACTCACTCAGCTCATATCACAGCACAACATTACCCGGCTAACTCAAACGGACAACTTTTATTATTTGTTATTAAAGAACAAGCCTGCGCTGGTAACAAAATGCAGAAAACTGGCAGAAGTGAAATATGGCAGACGAAGAACTCAAGGTTGACAGAAGTCTTTTCTCGAGTTATGAATAATTTGCAAGAAACAGGAAAATGGATGAAGTGTGATGAGTGGCGTGAAAGCAGATGCATAAATGCATTCTTGAAAGGATACCGCTCGATCGTTCATCGTAAACGATTCAAAGCGAATAAGCGAGTAGATATGTGTTTGTGACAATCTTGATAAGAAACACATAACTAATGATGTGTGCTCAATACATAAAACCAAGCAATCTAGTGGAAAACAGTTCCACGATGGACAGATGCTTATCAAAAAGCAGAATCGTTCTCATACGTAACTATGCGACTGTATTGCATTAAATGGAGTTGTGAAAAACGTAAATGGAACAATGTAACACTGGTTGAATTGATAGATGAAATGTTTTGAGTGTGATGGTGGAATTTGAAATGAATTACGATGATAAATCATTGCTAAATTAATTGAGTTGTCAAAAACATATTGCATAACACAATAAAAAGCAGCGCATTTCCAAAATTCATCCTATTTGAATCGGTTCATATCATGCATAACAACGATTCGAATTTCAATCAAGTTCATTTCAATTATTGAATCGCTTATTCGTCCTTGATCAGGCGATATGTTAAGAATGGTACGATTGAATATCTGCAAAAATCAACATTGATTTCATAGACGGACAAAATTGACTTATTATAAAATCAACCCCTCGATGTATTTCAAAATGAGCTCCAAACCGCATTCGATCATGTGAACATCTAACGCTCTTTTTTGCATTGCAGATAGAAAAAATTCTTTTCAAGAAAATTTTTAGACCGATGAAAAACACGGAAAATCTCTAAATAAACAAACGAGAAAATGACTGGATTCACTGAATCAAATTTTAGTTTTTTGGCGAAAACAAAAAGTTTGAAAAAACTGCTGATATTCTTCTACGTCTATTTTTCGGTAAGTAACCATGCGGCTCGAGCGCACACTTCGAACGTAGAGCTAGTGAATTCTTCAATAGAGAGGAAGCGTGAGAAACTTATAGGTTCAGAAAAAGGAACCATGTCAATGCATCATCATAATACTAGTGAACAATTCATGAAAAGCAGTAGAACTTAACGCTTTTGTATGTCAAAACAACAACAAGAATGCTTCATATGATAAGGGTTAGCCTTCCTTTGCGCATAATTTAGTAGCGAATACGACTAATCAAACGAATGCATTCCACTGTCGATAGAAACTTACAGATGCACCCTTTTATAAATTGTTCACTTTTAGATAGTCACAGCGTTGAAAGAGAAACTCTTATCGGTGCAGAATTATGCTAATCTCGTTAATTTAAACGTTTTCCACAGACTTTACAGCTCGAATATGCAACTTGTCTTATTTAAGCTTCACACCTCATCTACAACCTTTCAATTCGAAGCAACCGAAAAACGTCAAAAAATGAAAGGCCCATGTCGAAAAACAGAACTGCTCTTTAAATGATACCTCTTCCAACTGCAGAAATGAGCAATATCTGCAAAGCAATAAGCTTCTAAATTTTCTAACCTAACGATTGCCGGAAATGAGTTAATTTTCTAACCTAAAGTTTCAGGCATTAAAAATGAATTATCTATATCATGATACGCTTATAAAAGGACAGAAATGTAACAGAAAAATTGTTAGGTATCGATGAAATAACAACATATTGATTATCAGATGACTTGACAAGGATGGTTCCGTTGTTGAATAAATTATGAGTGCGGATAGATGAACATTTTTCTGACAGTGCACACTGCTATCGAACAAAGTCATTTTGCGAGATTTTCCTTTCTTTCATTGATCGTTTTCGGAATTTTTTACTTACAATTAACATTTTACTCATATAGGATGTATCTATCAATACAAACAAATAGCAGCATCATGGACAAACATATTTACTCGAAATTCAACGAAGTGTTATTTTTTGGTATCGAAGTCGTTCTTCAGTTGTTGCAGAGAAGAACGTAAGAAATGTTAGAAAAAGAAATCGAAATATAACGATTGAACGTTTCGAAAAATGGTCATTTTTGAATTTATTCACCAAAATTGCAAAAGATTATACAAGGTCCTCTCTCAAATGAAGGATATATGAAATGTTGACTAGCCGTTTCTTGGAATGATAAGTCTGTTTTCGATAAAAACCTCTTATGTACTGTCAGCAGCACTTCAGAGAAAGCTGATGAATTCGTATCAGATACAACACTCTGAGAGGAGATGCGTCAAAATACAGATGAGAGTGAATGTTTTACCTCACTGATCTTTTTAGTTTGCTAAAAATACTTTTGCAAAATGCTGAAATTAACACCAACGAATACGTTTGTTGATCGGGGCTCGCGAACCGGCTCGCTGCAAAATGCACAAATACGAACTATAATATACATGGACTGTTGACATAGCTGAACTTACCTTAAAACGAGACAAACAAACGCGGCTACAAATAAATCGCATGAAAGTGACACCACATTGGGCGTTTGAAGTAACACCCAGCAATGAAACGACAACGAATGTACAATCAATCAAGTTGACGAACTCAACCAGGTGCATCATAATAAAAGTCTTTTTTACATATAAAGCGCATATTGGACCGTAAGAGGCTAGAAAAAAGATTATATTTTATTTGATCTGAAAAGAAAACGAACTGAATCGTTTGAGGCTGCTCTCTGCGACTGCATACTCCCCAATAATACTCACTCATTCAGTTTGCTGAAATAAAAATTCGTATTTTCTGCCGTCTGATGACATCAACGACCTATTGCTTCACTCTGTAGTAGAATAAGCAGCCTATTAATGAGAATCGAGCAATATTCTTATCATAATAAAGACCGCGTTACTCACTGTCCTCTTAACTTCTAATCAAGGTAAATGGACGAAATAAAAAGAAGTTTATAGGATAGGCTGTTATCGATAGAACTATTCAACGAAATGACAAATTGATCCGTGTTAAGAATGATGAACTGCACAGAACGAGAATGCAAAAAATGATGATAAGATGAAGGCTTATAATAAGGGATACTTGTCAGAAGTCAAATAGATGTTGACCAAACATTCGGAGACAACGGTCATTGGCTGAAAGAAATGAACATATCGAATAATAAAAAAGTGAAATTTTTACACT